TATATATATATATGGTAGGCAGGGATTTTAATAATCGTAATGTAAGGTAAATAATATTTCTATAATATGCTTTTTCAGAGAATTCGTACTCAAAACTTAGGTATAAGTTGTAAACAGTAGGGAACAAGTTCTATTTATCTTAAAGGAAGATACACTTATAAACACTTAATCTGATGCTCATTTGATTGTTCATTTATTATAAACTTAAAAAACTTTAATAACAATAATTAAAATCAAACCAATCCTACCCCTTTAATAGATTTTGACAATACATTTCTTCTTTTAATTTTAGTTAATTATCTTCTCACTTGTATAATGTATTCAAAAGCTTTTTAGATTTTGAATTATAAAATGTTAAGATATTTTTTTGAAATCATTTTTTTCGCCTTAGTACAAAAAATTCCGGCTTTAGTTTGATAATTTCGTAATACATCGAAAATAATTCATAATTTTTCTTTAGTGAATTTCAGACTTTTTACTCCACGTACATAACATAATCATACACTTGATGAAAAAATGATAATTTTCTTACAAGAAAATTGAATCATTTACATATATTAAAAGAATGCATATTTTAATATCTGAAGATGCTAGAAGAATCTTATTATCAAAATTTTTAAAAATATATATTAAAAAAATTAATAATGTATAATTATACATAGTTTTCAAATTAATCAGTTTCTTAATTATCATTTAAATCATTCAAAAGAATGAGATTGAAGAAATGTGATTTTCTAATCTCAAATTCTCACAGAACTATAAAGAGCTTTGTATTTGCCAACAAACTTCAAATATATTGATTTTCCTAGTACTGATACTTAAAAATTTTAAGTAATACAAAAAGAACATACAAATTTAGAGTTGGTCAAGTATGTAAGAATTGAGAAAGATTTTTCCTTAACACTACAATGACATATAATAAATAAATAAAAATTATTATAATTTTTTAAATATAAATATTCATGAAATATATTTATTAGTAAATAAATATTCAATGAATATATCTATTCATAAAAAATATATTTTAAAATAAAAGAAAATAATTTATAATGAATTCAAATTTACTTTGAATTCAAATAACATGAATTCGCTGTGTTCAAAATTTTATTTTGAATTGAATATGCACATATTAGATTTTAAGGGAGTAAGATTCTTTTCCATTTATATCAGAAATCAGAATTATAATATTTCAATTTATTTGAGATTATATTCTTTAAAAAACTTAGCAGTTATATTTATCTAAAGAAGATAAACTTATATCAAGGTTTGAACACTAGTGCCCCATTTTTTGGGGGTCAAAGTACAAAAAATCGAAATTCCACCCAGTTTACAAGGTAAATGTTCAGTTTTTTTAAAATTATAATTTTAAAAATATGATACAAGTTTTAAAATACGTGGATCTAAGGCTTAAAAATGTTTTTTGTAGTTTTGAAGTTTAAACTTGACGTACTCTATCATGCATACTAAGTTCTGAAATTGACTGTCAGCTATGTAATGATGAACTTCATTTATGTTGAGATGAAAAAGTAGAATCACGTCTTATATTGATTCTATGAGACGATGAAATATTGTGGGTGTCTATTAGATTCGGCTGTAATGTAATCAGTATATAAATGACCGTATGTTGATGATATTTGTGAAGAGTTTTGATATTTGATATTTGTGGGGTTTTGAATAAGTTAAATAAATACTCTTATGGCTTATATACATTAAAATAGATAAAAAAATTTAATTTATTTTATCTAAATATCTATGTTATTATTATACATCTTCTTTGTTTGACCACTGTCAAACTGATGAGCATATAAAATTTAATTTTGATATTGGTCTGAATCATTACTTATGTAATTTAGTTTACTTCAACAAGATGAATTTTGATAAATACTTGTAATGTGAGATTAAGTAACATTCCACAAAACAGAAAAACTAATTAAATTAAAAAATGTTCCTTTGTCTCTAGCTCATAGTCTGCAAAATGTATGTTCTATCTCTTAAGAACTATCGTGTACTATAAAAGCTCTTGCTGCAATCATGCTCTTACTCTTCCATACTATTTTTTAACTGATTTTTATCATTGTGATGATATTTTATTAAAAATAAAAAATTATAAAAATTATTATATACATACATACAAAAAACATAGATGTAAATAGCTTTGTAAGTATATGGAATATGAACTTATTTTTTAAGTAGTCGAAATATTAAATGAATGAAACACGTGTTGATTTTTAATACTTTATAGAGCATACTGTACATATATATATCGCCGATGTACACGCTTATGTAGGTTCCTTAGTTGATGCAATCTTCTACAAATCTTATTGTGATGAGATTCGAGCTCATATCCATCTGCCTTTTTGGATAATCTTCAAACATTCCAATCCTTTTCGCTATACTTACTGGTTCTCATTTCTTAGACCTTCGAGCTAAATAGATAACCTCGTTTGAAAAGCTTAGTTTGATCCTTGTAATGATGAAAATATTTCTTTGATAACAGGCCAAAATTTCTTTCGTGGAAAAGTTCACATCTAAAAAATGTCCCTTGGCGGTGAGGAATAATTTGGTACTTAATAATTATTAGTACCAAATGGGCTCACGAATAAAGCAGGACTTTCTTTGTTTTTCGAAATTCAATAAATTTGCGGAGGATCGAGTTTCCGACGTACTACAAAATAGCTGAAACAAATTGTGGATGTCGGAAAATCAGACCTGTATTCCTGGAAGATCATACAGGAGAATGTTCTTGTAGAGAGAAGACCCAACGCACACTGTGCCGAGAAGCAGTAGCAGACCCCCTCCTCCTCTCAACGCGAAGAGGCTCCTCACTTGTTGACGACGAGGGGAAAGAGAATGAGTGTGGCTCTAGTCAAAAGCTTTGCTCTCCACATGCGAAATGAATGCCCATTGTGAGACATACCCTGAGGCCAGCTTTTTTCGCCCCACAGTAAAAGAGGAGTATTGTCTCGAACGAGAACGAGTAAGAAATGAATTCAACGATAGAAACCGTGTACTTCCAACTCCCTCGTGGGACTTTTCCTCTCCGAGAGGGAAAACAGTTCACCAGTGCGCTCTCTGTTGCTAGAATGCTTCTCGACCTGCGGCTAAGGGAGTCCGCATGGTGCTACAAAGATGGAAGTTACCCCCGGGGCAGTTAATTTCTGCTGCACCAGCTGCTGCTACTCCTCGCCTTTCATAAGGCAGTGTAATAAATGCACAGCATATCCATATTCTATAATTTGTAAGGTTCCTCGAGTATTTGGCCATTTGTCGGTAGCTGCTACCGTAGCCCTCGATCGAAGGCACGTCCCGCATCGTGCATGTCCTACTCATCATGGAGCACTGCTCGCCACAATGTACCTCTGATCGAGCTGAGGCACAACTGGATTGACGTGAAGGTACAGTGCTCAGACCCCGGGCAGACACAGGGCGGGGATAGACATACCTCGCTTGCAGCTCGCTCATGCATCAATCTGACTTCGATCTGCATTTCCTTGTGCGCTTCTCTGGCCTGCTACAAGACAGAGCTGGAGCTCACAATACTCTGTACTTACAAACTCTGCCAATGAGGATTTGGAATGTCCCGAGAAGGAAGGAAGGAAGAAGTGTGAGTAGGGGAATAGGACGTTCCGTTGACAGTGAGCTTTCGGCAGGCGATGTGAAAAAGGAGCGAAAGACGTACCTGGATGCTGAAATCTTTAGATCCATGGCAGAGGAAGGAGCCAAATGAACAGTCGGTCATTTGGAGTTTTGTCAAATTTGTGTACATGGACCCTCTCGCGAGATTGACAGGAAATTTGCAGTGAGCGTTCCCGCGGCAGGAGGGGGGACGATAGAGTTTAGCACATTTGCTTCCCTTGCGCCTACCGTCGTAAGCTCCAGTAGGTGGGGCATACGCAATGTGGCCTGACTTGAGGCTTCGTTGCACTTTCCCGCCCTCTCCTTTGAGATCCACCGTTCAGATGCGCATGCTGAGGCCTTTTGCTAGGCTTATTCGAGAGAGCTGTGACGTCAAATTCAGCAGATCCGAGTTTTTTTCCTCACCAACCGAGTCAGTATTCAAATCCTCGCTTGCTTCCCGCCGCCATGAGGGCTTCGTCATACACGGCACACCCTACCCTGCCTGCTGCCCTTCCCGGTAGAAAGTACCCCTACTGAAACTTTGTCTTCAATTTTCCGTAACCTAAATTTAGCAGCTCACGTAGAATCTTCCCTGTGATTCAATCCTCGACGAAGCACATTTTGCAGACATGTACGCAATCGAGGTTCAAGTTTGCATCGGCTGAAATTTTCCGGAGGATCACATTTTGTGATGCGGCCCGGGGCTCGTGAGACTAGTCCCGCGTCTGGGCAGCGGAAAAGAAAGAACACTGCTGTGCGTAGCAGTGGATGTGCGTAATACGGGGCAATGAAAACGGGCGTACAGAACTTTTCACAACTTGACATGTCTCACTTCTGTACATTCTTCAATTCTCAGAACTTCCCTTCCTCCCGCCCAAATAGGAGCTTCCTTCACTTCATAACACGCATTCTAGTGCCAGGCTGCAATGAATAGAGTTGCAACAGATATACACTCCAGATAGTAAAGAACAAATGCGGCATCTTCTACACTGTCGTCGTCATCATCATCATCTGATCTTCATCGCAGGGGTCTACAAGAAGGCCGGTGTAGTCTCAGTAGTATGAAAGAAGAACTCCAGGCATCTGTCCGCTTGAACTTGCCATTGTGAACATAGATCGCACTAGCTACGGTCCCACTGACACTCTCCTCATACAACCTGAACTCGCCAAACCGGCAGTAAAGGTATGTTTGGACTGCAACCAAACACAAGAACTTTTGTTTCCTTGAGACGAACAAGACAAGTTTCCATTCAGAGAAGAAAGAGATGGTATCCACTTTCAACCTCTGCCACGTACACACGACCTTCGACAAGCCGTGAAGTCACCATACCCTACGGTCCGATAAATGAACTTGCATAGAGATGACAAGTAAAGATCACAATGAAGAGATCTCTTTCGTATATTGCCTGATGTGGTTCGTTTCTTACCAAGATCAGTTAGTATTGGCCTGGTCGCTTGATCACTGCTCAATGACGAGCAACACATAGAAACTGGGGTTTCCACGCCAGCTGTTATGGGATCTTTCGCCTGCTCTGTAACAAAACCATCAAAGAGTACTTTGACAGAAATGTGAGCATCCTGCTTTGATGATCAGCGACATTAAAAACCATTTAAAAAAACAACACTTGTTGCCAGCCAAATTCAACATACCTCTGACGTAATCTCATCCACTTGCTCCACACCAGAGTCCAAAGTCCCAATGATGTACTTAGTATTGCATTAATGAAGCTTTGTCACTTTGACAGCGATATTCCATGTTCATTCTGGCCACTACTTTGGAACTAACTTACGATAATAACCTAGTTCATATTTGGAAGGTCAACCAACTTGAGATCTTGACAGCATGAGATGTGGCAAGAACCAATTCTATCTTTGTACATCTATAAACAACGGTTCTTTTCTTGCTTGCCACGCCATCTTCTATAAGAGCCATTCCCTTTTATCACCGATATTCTCAGTTCTAATCCTGTACACACTAGTCGATGTATCTGTTCCAGCTACAATCGAGTCTTGTAAACGTGCAGGTCGAAATGACGGTGGGAAGACCTCCATAAAACGGCGTGTAGATCATAAGCGTGACTTTGCATTAGAACTGACTGGCTCACTCTGTAGAATACACCCAGCATGTGTGGGATCAGCGGATGAAGAAGACTATACGTGACTTCAAGTTTGGATGAAAGTGGAATGATCCCAGAGATAATGAAATCTCAATCGTCAACCAAAAAAGATATGAAGGAAAACATACCAGCTTAACACCACTTGCTGCTCGTTCTACCAAGAATGTGCATGGCTTGAAAAAGTCACCATACAGTTCGGTCCACTTTTGCAGCTTAGTGACAATATACTTGATTCCTACTGCGTCAGCCCAGTGACATACACCACCCCTGTAGAATGTACGCCACAAAAGAGCATCAAAAACATGAAAACCTAGAAATCCAAATGTTCGACATTCGTGCTTGAAGAATCTGAAAATATGTACTCACAGAATTCGCAATTAAGCTCTTTTCATGATATCTGGTTCATTTTATCATACCTGTATGCTGGGAAACCCATTCCCATGACCGTGGCGATATCCAAGTCTGAGGCCTGTGCACAAATGCCTTCTTCAAGTACCCGGGCAGATTCATTAACGACTGGGAATAAGAGCATCTCCGCTATTTCTTCGTCCGAAATCTTGATTGGCTGTGCGTAAAAAACCACAATGAACAGCGTCTTACTTTCTTATACGTGAGCGCAAGGAAGATCAAATTTCGAGGATGAGAAATATATCTAATCTTCTGTGGATACTGCGGTAAAAGACACATTGGATGCAATCTACTACTAAAAGCACACATGATCCTTTTGTGTTGCCATAAAAATGTACGGAAATAATAATATTATTTGTCACATTACGACCACTAACCCAGAGTAAGCAAAACGGATCATAAGAATGAGACCATATAAATCTTCTGAAAGAAAAGACATGACCAATTCAGATAGACAACCGTTTCGTCGTGATTCTCTCCTCTATCGTCTTCCAAGATGCTCACAAGGTTCAAGACAATAAAGTCGAACAAAGTTGGGAATGGATGTGAAAAACACTGACAAATATTGTTACAAGCGCCTTTAGAGAGCAAAGTGTTACCTTGCCACCGGGCATTTTGCCAGCTTCTTGTTGAGTTTTCTGAGCAATTTTCATAGCCACAGGGTCGGGCTTCGCCCTGCGTCTTTCATCATACTGGTAAACACCTTTCCCAGTTGATTGTCCTGTAAAGTTGAAACAGGGAATGAAAAATAAGATGTGCTGTCCTGGACAAATATCAAGGATGTCATGAAGAACTAACTGGGAGACTCAAAAACTTCGAGTGTCAGAAGGGTCCCATCGATGCCTCGACAGTGGAAAGTCTTGGGGGTTTAAATGACAAAGCGCCTCGAGAGACAACAAGATGGTTTTGAGTGATAGCGCCTTCTATTCTCTAATTTATGAACCGTTCCCAGCCGAAGTACAGAACTTACCCAACCGTCCTTCCTTCATCAAGTTTGCGATGAACATAGATTTATAGCCACGCTCAGGATGTGCTTGCAGGTGCTGTTGACCAACAGCCAAGGCAACTCCAAAACCGACAAGATCCGCAAGGCTGGACAACACAAAAACCAGGAAGAATATCATCACACATCCAATTGATCTCATCCTGGTACAGGAAACTTGGCTTGAAAATGAAGCTAAGACTTTTATCCAGAACAGAAGTGAGATACTTACGCGAATGGACCCATAGGCATTCCAAATGCCTTAACCACGGCATCGATGCGGTACAAATCCACACCCAGGTCCAATAAGAGAGGAGCTGCCATGTTGTAAGGAAAAAACACTCGATTCACGACAAAACCCGTGCAATTACCGACGACCACAGGCGTCTTCTTTATGACCTTCCCTAGGTTGATCAGATCCACAATAGATTGGGGGGAGGTCTTGTCTGTCCGCACTATCTCAAGGAGTGGCATGATGTGGGCAGGGCTATTCACAAATAACACAGACATCACGGGTGAGAATTTTTAAGTCGGCCTTCAAAGTAGCCGATGCTAAAGTAAAAGCAAGACTGTTTTGACAAGTCTCTCTGTGTCACCTCAGTTATGAACCCTCCTTCGTAGCTATACTAACAGCGTTCTGATTTTGTCACCAATAAAAGGTGTAGAACAGCATTCCACCCATACCAGACTTGATAAAGATGTGTCCCAAAGCTAGGATTTATCAAAGTTTCCAACCTGAAAAAGTGAGCCCCGATTATACGATCTCCAGATTTGGTCTTCTCTCCCACGAGGTTCAAATCGATGGTGGAAGTGTTCGTGGCAAGGATACAAGTGGGTGAACACACTTTCTCCAAATCGGCAAAGATCTGCTGCTTAAGTCCGATGTTCTCTATGACGGCCTGCCAGCAGTTTCATCAATACTTTTAGGACTCATATCAGCAAAAGACACTAAGCATCTGATTCTGGATCGCGTTTAGTATAGTCTTCTTACCTCAATGACCACATCCACTGTCTTGAAATCGTTGTAGTCTAGCACGCCTTTTACTAGTGAAAGGGTTTTTGCCATCTTTTCCTCCGTCATCTTTCCTTTCTTCACGCGACTTTGCAAATTGCCTATTGAGATACAAGAGACGAAATTCAGTTGGAAAAAAAGTCCAACTTGACAAAACTCAAACAATCAAAATTGTTCTTCGCAGGGCCACTTCCTAACATGGAATGGCATTATCACGAGCCTATCAAAGACTAGTCTGAAGGAAGAATCTAACCTTTGATGCGACCAAGCCCTGCTTGGAGGAATTTATCATTGACTTCCTTCAATAGAACTGGAATGTTACTCAGGATGAGGGCAGTAGCAATTCCCGAACCCATCAGACCACCTCCAACAACTGCTGCCTTCTTCAAGGCTCTGGGTTTCAGTCCCAAATCTGTAACGCCTTTAACCTGGACATTCAAATGAAGACGTAAGTTTCAAGAGGTATATCTTGAAATAGCAGTAGTAAGCTTGTAAGGTGAGCTTGTCTACTGACAAGCTCATCCTGTCTTCACGAATCAAAACAAACAGAAATAACACAAGAGCCCAAGACTGAGAATCTGGCCTATCATATGCATTTTGATCATACATTTTACAATTTATCTTCTCTCGCTTCAAAGATATAGTACACTGCAAATTCCTTGGGCCACTCCAACCTAAGTTAAGTTCATGCATCTATTACTATAAGGAAGCTCACCTTCGTTGTATTTCGCTGAGCAAAGAATATATTTATAAGAGCTTTGGAGGTATCGGAAAAGACCGCCTGGGTGAATAATTTTTCTTCCTGATCAAAGTGAAACGCCAATATTAGATTTTTGAACTTACAACTTGCAACTTATTCGATAAGCAAAATCGAGAAACCAACAAAACCCATAAAGATCAAGTAGGGAGGAAAGTGACCATCAAAGCTCCAGCAAAGCCCCCAGCGATAACTCCTTCCTCAATAGCATCGAGACAATGCTGAGGGTGACGCATGTTTGGTGCATTTTTCTTGGCCTGAGCTCTCGCGAATTTTATAATTTCACGAGCATCAGATAAACCTTCAATCTTATCTGTCCTTCTCAGACTTTGCATCCAGGGTCGACGATGCTCGGCGATGTCAAGAGCCCATTTACGAGCTGCTGCCAAAAGTTCCGCTTGGGGAGCAATCATATCCACCAGGCCTAATTCATGTCCCTCTTGTGCTCCAACAGGTTTTGACAGCTGCAACCATACACAAAGAATTCAGTTTCTTTTAAGCCTAAAAGGCAAGTTACTTTCTTGTAGAGATCGACAATTCTTGCAATTAGACAATGTAATGACGGATGACAAACAGATATTTTAGAAGATTTATCAACGCGCGACGATTGTATACAACGTTGTACAGCGGAGAGAGGATTGAATCGATCGTGTATCGCTAATACAACGCTGATCTCGAAGGAGTACATAGATCTTAAATTTAGGGTAGTCCAGTTCCTAAAAATTCCTTAATAAACAGGTTATTCTGTCATATGCCTCAAGTTTCTATTTTGGAGTCTTCGCAAAGTAACGACTACTGGTAACGAGGTGGAAATAGAAAAACATACCAACATCATTTCAATTGCCTTAGATAATCCCACCAACCGAGGAAGCCTTTGAGTACCTGTAGCATGATAAAAAAGCAACCAAGACATCGGGTTAGTTACTGCAACTATCATAGCATTGAACACTTAAATAAAATTGAACAATTTCAATGTTCAAGGCTTGTGCAATATTTACAAATCCATCTGAGATGAATGTTACTCTGCTTCAGCACAAGGACCGAACTGTCAGAACCTCCTGGCCACAAATGGACGCAGAGGCGAAAATGTGGGAATAAAAAGCACAAACCTCCAAATCCAGGAATGATCCCAAGCTGAAGCTCCGGTAATCCAAGCTGAGCCTTGGAGGTAGAGACACGTGCGTTGCAAGCCTGCCAATTCAAATGCAGGCCTCTGAAAAAGGTTAGAAAATATTGAGATTAAGTCAGCTATGGCCAGGGCATTGACATCAGTATCTGTGATGAGAGTATACATTCGAAGGAGGAGTACATAGGGATAAATAAAACTATCGCAAAAAATATGAATGCTTGAGGTGATAGTAAACTAGGTTCCCTGATATGTACTTATCAGTGATGCAAATAAGATACAATAATACGCCGCCTCGAGACTAGCTCCATGAAAAGTAAAAAAAAAGAGAAGTCCATACCATTGCCAGTTCAAGTCCACCACCAAGAGCAAGACCATCAATCGCAGCAACTGAAGGCTTCTGACCCTCTACAATCGACAGAAATGCAAAACCGGCCCCGGTTAGCCATTAGAACAATTCACTAAAAAAACACAGAAACAAAAACGAACAACTAACTACAAAACGTAGTAGGTGATGAAATCATTACAAGATAACAGGATGAACCGCAAAGAATGGTACTCTTCCATGTGGTTAAACCTTTGAAACAGGGCAATGTCGACAAAATGTTGACCCAAAATTTTGTCTCTCCAAATATGTATAGAAAACTTAGCCCTTGGTATCATGTAAATCAGTGAACACAAAAACACGAGAACAAATATTCGGAATCGGCCTGATATACCTTCAATTGTGTAAGTCATCAAATCGATGGAGACGCGTCCTAGAAGAGAAGTATCGCCTGTACACAAATAAACCGAAATCAGTAACTGTCGCCAGATATCATGTGTAAGAAATGATTTACACGAAGTACATCTGACACAAAGATTGAATCAAAAGCATCAACAAGTGCGACTCCATGAACTTACCAGTCTTTTGTACCTCCCTGAGGAAATTGATGTCAAAACCACCTGAGAACCTGCCGGCGTTACCTGTAGTCACCAGAACACGAGTTCCATCAAATTTCTACATTGATCAGACTCGTAGCAGTTGAGAAAATGGATCAACCAATATACTCTTCACAACCCAAGTCGACGGCTGACCATTTGAATGCCACAGAGGACAGCATTTCTTGTCAAAACCAGAAACCCAGTTCCGGATAATTTAGACAGCTTGATTTCTTATGTAAGAAGGACAAAAAACCAATATGATATCAAAACCTCAGAGCAGTGAGTCAGGCCTGACTTATTGTTACAAAAATAAATATTAAGGCCTGGTGAAAATCTCACCAGTAACAACAATGGCTTTGACGTCATCTCTTCTCATTGCTTCATCAAACTTCTCCTTGATGCCTGCCAACACTGCACGAATGAACAAACAAGTGCAGCGATGGGCGCAGATCAGTCTCGGATTATTTACCACCGACCAAAAATAACAAAATGTTCAACATGTGCGGCTGCTTGGTGATGTGTGAAATTACATGAAATCGTGATTTCGATACACAGCTATATCTATTTGGGTCATAAGAGGTGATAGACTCCCAATACCACGGAATATGCTGCGAGTTATTCTTTCCCGCGTTCTAGCGTAAGAAACTCTACGTTTCTAAAAATCTGCAAGCAGCTACAGGTAAAATTGTTTCATGCCTGAAGAAAACGTTATGCATGTAACGAATGCTAGCTGAGACCACAACCTTGGGAATTTTAAACCTATGACATGTAACAGTATACACGTGCAAGGGGAGGAATATTTTGCAACTACAAATTTTATTTTTACGACTTAATCCAGCTGCCATTGGTGGCTGCTCTACTAAGCACTGGCCCTGATGCGAGGATTCCAAAGCTTCACAAGCAGAGAAAGCTTGAAAATTCTCGTTCGTCGACAACAGCACCTGTACTAACGTCTACAATATCCTGATAAATGCTCAGTAACAAATCGCTACCCGACTCCACTACTCCCGCCAAGGACCTATCGTTCTAACCCACTCGACCCTTCAAGCCTAAGCTAAAGAGGTGCCGAAATCCAATTCCACCAAATCTCGGTTCATGCATAATTCCAAATCCTCGAACACAACAGACAAGAAACAAGCCACGAATCTCAACGAACACAAACCTGGAAGTGCCAGAGCATTCACGGGCGGGTTGAAAAGAGTAATAATCGCCACTCCATCGGATCCAACCTCCAAGCTCACACTGGGTGCCATCCCGTCCTCTGCTACACGGCTGCGGAAAAACGCTCTCCGTCTTCCTTCCAGCGACCGAGTCCGGCAAGATCGTCCGGGTACCCTCCCACTCAGCAGAGCTCGAGGAACAATCAACTCTCCAACAATCAATCAGCCAACCAATCGATCAATCAATCAATCCACCGAAGGTGGCATGCAAGACTGGCTTTAAGATCCTCGTCGAACCAGGAGGAGATGTCGAATTCCGAAAGATCAGACCCAATGCTCCGCTCCGCTCCTCGGGCGCCTTGTCGTCGTTCCTTCTGCTGCAAGCGTCAGTCCAATTGCCCGAACCCAGAAGCAAACTCGTCCGGCGAGCGAGCGTGCGTCGAGCGCGGATATGCTGGCTGGACAAGCCGACGCTCCGCCACTCCCACCCTCCGCCAGGACCGGCGCTCGCCTTCGCGCGCCACCCGGGTCCCTCTTTACTCGTCCGATTCTGAGATCCGACGACGGTCATCCATCGCGCTGTAGGAACTCCCTCCCACGGGTAGGACCAACTTTCGGTCGTCCACACCTCGCTCGGGTCGAATCCGGTAGGACCACCGGCTGGCGACATGGACGAGGTTGCCGGTTGAGGTACTGTACTCCGTGATCATTTCGTTCCGTTTTTACAGGACGACGTATATGTGTTAATTGCCACGGAATCCGTGCCCAGTTAGTAACTTTTAAAGAAGTCAACCTCTTTTTACACATATGAAGAGCCCACGAGGTTTTGTCTTTACGATGAAGAGAGAAGAGGGTGGAAAAGGTAAGAAAGTAAGAAGGTAAGAAAGTCACAGCACAAGGCCGTCGTGGTCCGGCCTTTCGCTTTTAACCGGATTACCGGATGACTCCGGTAATCCGGCTGGCCACGGCAGGATTTTCCGTGGAGGATCATAACACGTGTGCAAAGCTGCAGACCGACGGGGGGTGGATCTGACCAGTCGTGACGACCCGACCGACCGACACAGACGGTTAGATAACAGACACGAACCGGTCACTTCTCGGCGCAGCCAAGGCAGTCGAGAACCTACGACGCCTGCAGCAGTCGGTCGGACGCCTCCGGTCACTCAGAGAGAGGACGAGACGATGACAAGTAAGGCACGGCACTTTCCGCCGCTCGCTCAAGTCCCGGAGTTGACAACTGGGGCGGTTTTGGAGGGACTTCTACTATATTTGGCGGAGGAGAATCTTTCAGAGGCGAATCTTTACTCCCAGTTCGCCGTAGGGCGAGTCGGACGGCCCCGCTAATTTAGACCCATCAGCGGCGGTCGCTAGGTGGATAGCGGTTTGAAGTGCATTAGGAGTTATCCTGATCCGAGGCGTGGATATTTCCTTCCCGTCCTCCGAGAACGAGCACGCTGAAATTTCGAGCTTCGAGCTGCGAGAGGGGATTTTTTTCCACCCACTTACTTATCCTCGACGTTCGATTTGTCTCGATTTGGATATAGAAAGCCATGAATCGTCCGGGTGTCGTTCTTATCTCCAGCTCCTTATGGAACTGGGATGTCGTGGGTATAATTAGGCGAGTAGGGGATAATTACAGTGCTCCTCTGAGTTTTATGACCCTGATTGATACCTTCGGGGATAGAACGGGATACGGTACAGTTGTTGATTGGCCCAGTCAAGTCAGTCCGATTAAGATTCTTTTCACACTGCCGTGTCTGGATTTTCTGGCTTGCCACTTCTTCGTGCTGCGATTAGCTTCGAAACAAGTTTGCCGTGGAGGCTAGAGGACGAAGCCTCGCCGCCCCCATGTGAAATTCCGTGAGGCTCACAATTGTGGCATGCATGTCGGAGAAGCATGTTTGCGATGAGGTAGCACGTACGGTTCGTTGGATATTCTTTCGATTACACCACTGTTAGTTATTTGTGGTATTGAATATATCCTATAAAATTATTTTCAATATCAAATATTTAACCATTATTATTTGTTGCCAGAAGTAGTATGTTAAGATGGAATTATGAATCAATTTGATCACCTATACATTTTTACTATAATGACAAACACAATACTGAACATAAGTTAAGAAACATACATCTTGAGCAGTTTTCAACAGCACACAAGTATCACAAAAACAAATTTACAGCATGCCACAAGTTGGTTATGATTAATCAAACCTGATTTCAAAGTTTCCATCAAGTTAGAAGTTTTCAAGAATATATTTTTATAAAGAAGATCAAATTATGAAAATCTTATAACTGCCAAAGAGTTCAGGTTTTTTTATTAAAGATCACTCGAACAATTATTTTCCCTTTTTTTACAAAGAGTTTGAAGATGATGAATTCTAGTTATTCCTTAAAAAAATTAAAAATAAATAAATTTCCATTTGATAATTAATAAATTCATTGAAGAAGTAAAGATTAATAATTGATATAAATAATGACGAAAGATCTTTAATTTTTTTGAAACAGTTGAAACAGTTTTTTATTCTTTTGATACTAGATATAACAACATGATCTATTTCTATTTGTAGATAAAATGAATAATAATGATGAAGAATTTCATTTATTGTCTTGTTTTGTTGACATGATAGATAATCATGACATTATATGTTTTAACTTTAAAAAAATTCTTTTTATATATGTTGCAATGATTTTATTATTTGATACAAATAATAAAATCATATAATAATGTAATAATAAAATTTTTTTCACAAAATTTTGACCACATCTTGAAAATATTTGACTCTTGTTAAAATCACGGATAATGTGCTTGAAATTATATATAAAACATTTTGTTAATAAGTTTCATTTACAGTGGCATGAACAAATTCACATAATTTTTGATGATTATAATCATTTAAACCCCTCAAGTTTTATCTTCAATGCACAACGTTCACAAAAATAATGTAATTTGAAAAACATTTACATATGTTTAAATTTCAAAAAAATTACTTCAAAAAATATTTTGTCTTTTTCAATATAGTAATTATGATATTATCATTATTTGAAGTAAAATTTTGATGATAATATATGTGAATATCTCTAAAATTGTAACGTTAGCAAAATATTTTTCATCACATAATTTTTTTTTCAAGCTCATTTATAAGATCAACATTCATTTTTTGTTTATATTTTGTACTAATTTTTTTAAATTTTTTATTTTAATGTATCATAAAGAATTACACAATATAATTTAAACTATGGATTTTCCTAGTTTTAATTTTAAAAATCTTGGAATTTATTGAAAAAAAAGAATACAGACGCACATGAATTAAGCTCAATGTAAATTGTTTCAACTTTTGATATCCGACGTTTTTGTGGTGGTCTAGCTGCTGAAAGAGTGGATTCTCTTCCGACCAGTATGTTCATTAAATCTGCGATCTTGAATATCTAACCATCGAATTCTACAACATATATCTTGAATCTGAAAATGTATGTTTGAAGAAGCACTTGGCTTGAAGCTTGATGCTCTGAATGAGATCTACAGACCTGTCGTTGAAAAAAACAAGACAATGTACTATTGTGTGAAATCTTTACCTCTTCTCTTCATTATACATTTTCTTGATTTGTCTGTGCTTTTTTCTCATACGCGTTCTTCTTCGTTTTGCTTGAAAGCTAAAAAAAAACTGTAGACACACATAGATTGAGCTCAAGTGCTGCTTACTCTTGGAAGATAACTTTTAGTCACAAGTTCGTCAATGTCGTGCGATGATCTTTGCTATTCCATTTTAGTATTGGAAAATCATATAGTAGAGAAATAGTGTTGGCAAATGGAACAGCTAGTACTCCACAAAATTGGCATAAAAAATCATACCAATCATCAAGACCATCAAATGCTTTGTTGAAAGTCATGTCATGCCTATTAATTTGAATTTTTACTCAAGTCTTGAAATTTTAAACATGGAGAAGTCATTTGTGATTTTCTTGAATCAGATCAATGTGATACTTGTTCCAAAATTGATCAATAGAATCGCAATATGTATCAAAAACGTTTGTAATGAATTCTTTAGTACACATCTTAATTAAATTGTAAGATATCATTTGAGGCGTCACATCCATTTGAACCTCATTTTAAGTGTATCTTTCTCACTACTAAACATTGTGAATGAGTTTCATTAATTAAAAATTGTAATCAACCATTTCATTTACAATTATTGTACTTTTATATGCAAACAGACTACGAAAAAAATCTCGGATCTAAGATCTTTGATCATGAATGAGGTCAATTACATTTATTTACTGTTATACACCTTTCTCCATGATGATAATACTTATCTTCCGCCATCATCATGTAGTTGACATTAGTTTCAATTCTCTAAATCTCCAATATAGTTCACAAATTGATTATTAACTTCTTTATTTCAGTTTGATGTTGTGACAAAATCATATATCTTGATAGTAAAATGATCAATGTGTTAATGCATGATGAAAACAAAGGAACAATGGCTGCCTTGATGATCCATCAAGACTGCAACGAAGCACAAACATGCTAATTCTCTTCAATGTGAACAAACAAACGTTGAAGTTTATCAATCATTCACCAGATTATGTTTTCAAATTGTGCCTAACGACTTGTATATTTTGGACATTTGTTGTCCATTTAGTTAATAGGAGTAGATTGTTACCAGAAGTAGACGAAGAAAGCATGAACCATTGTGTAATATTGTTCATATTATAGAATGTTGGTTATGATTTGATCACAAGATCAATTCGATGAGACAGATATTATATACGAAGAATCAGATGAGTTAACTTCTTTATCAAGAAGAGTCACAATACTATCAACATATCTAATATTTATTCACTCATCATCCATTGATATATTGAGAAGCTTATTGCACCAAAGTTTGTATAAGCAATTCAAAATTTTCATGATCATATTCATAGTTTTAATCACTATGTGACGATCAAAATGTGAAATCATGACAAGTTGAAATTTATCTAGGTGATTTATCAAAAAAGTATGTTGAGGAAATTTGTGCCATGATGATCACTTTCATCAAATGCCAAGACAAAAATCCAAACTTTAGGATGTGCTGAAATATCAGAAATAATTTGAAGGTTTGTATCAATAATGATGCGAATATACTTGCAACTATGTGATACTTCAATTTCCTCAATTTTGCATTTTTGATGATGATTGATCACAACTTTTGACTAGCAAAATGAAAGTATCAATATATATGAGACATTTACTTTTCCAATCTATATTTCTACATGATATGAAACATTTATTTTAATCTTGAAAGGTTTCATTGCGTTGTTTAGAGTGATTGGCTCCCATTGTACTACTCGTCATCTTTTGGATTGAAGATCATATTTTCAAAAAATATTATCCACTATCCAAACCTTGATAAAAAATATAAGCGTTATAAA